AAAATTGCTCCTATCAGCTTACAGAAAAAAATGCTCATAATATTTATATCATGCATCTATTCTGCAATACACCGATTAGCCCATTTTCACATCCATTTTGTTCATCTGATTAGTTTCCCAATTCAGTTTTCTGTTACTGAAATTCTGCCAAGCTGAACTAACATATCGGCAAAATTTGGCCATCCCAAAAACACATTTTGTTTTGGAAAAAATTCAGTCAAAACTAATTTTCTCTTTGTGTACAGGTCTACTAGTGAGCACTTGAAGTGTTGGCTAAGGAGTAACTGTAACGGCTACCCGGGTAGAGTGAGGGTATCTGCCGTTGGAGACGTCCTTTTTCCCCTTTAAGCTGCTGTGGAGAAGTAAGCTGGTATAATCCCATCCACGATATCCAGAGTAAGAGTCAGGTTCAGCTGTAACAGGAGCAGAATAACATTCCCAAATAATCCCCTTCCAAGAACGAGACAAGGCTACGTTTTGAAGGGTCAAGAAGATCTCAGGACTGGAACACCCAGCCTGCTTTTTATTGGGATCAGGTACACACAGGATACTCCCAGGGGGAGGATAAAAACACCCAATCATATACCTGGTAACACCCCCACGTCTCCTCCCCTCAGATAACATATAACATAATTAAAACGTACAACATTTTACCCCAGTTCTGGATGTTCCCCAAAAACAGGGGGTACAGCTTTAAATCTGGGTCGCTTGATAGCTCTCATTCAGGGGACCAACATGTCCAAAAATCAGCCCATTCGGATGAATGGTTCGGGAGATACAGAGTTCCAAAGTTTTGACCGACCGCACAGACCAACTAGCCGAAAATAGTTCCATGAGTTTTGGCCTTGCGGTCGGTCTCCGTTCGCCTGGTTAAAAGGTATGAAATTCTTGCCATCCATTCGAATCTCGGGGTTCGCCGCAATCCCCATAGATGATTGAACATAACTACCGAACGTCCGGTGATTCGGTAGTTTCCGTGCGAACTTCTGGAAGTATGGAGGACTCAGCGGTGTTCGCCTGTTTGCGTATCCGATTTTAGTTCCACGCGTCGACAGGCAAACACCGCTGTTCGCACGTAAGATGGCCGCGGCCACGTGTAAAGTCCCGAAATGGCGGCCACCTATACTTTACACAGGGAATTCATGCGAATCCATTCGAATGGTTGCAATGCACTAAATGTGACGAATTCCTGCTGATTTTGGTTAGTTCACTGGCCCAGGCATACAGCATAGTTCTGTTACAGTAACCATGACTATCATAGCACATGTGCTGTAAGGCTATACTGAAGTACAGGTGGACTGCCTTTTGGAGGGTTCTCCTGCTTTCCCTGACAGTCAGGTCTTTTGGAGGTCTTTGTTGATTATATTCCCAAGAGGTAATGGACAGGTGGGAGAGGGACCATTTCTAAATAGATTTTTCTATCACTTACACTATACATTTCCTAGCAACTTTCAAACACACTGTATAGATATCATTTAATTTTCTATTAACCAAAATAAACTTGACCATGACAGGTAGACTTTAAGTAGCATCAATAATCTCAAATCCAGTCTTAGGACCAATGTCAGTCTTTTGACTTTTAACTTTAAAATGTGGACTCTTTTTTTCAGGGCTTTTCTTTTGATTAAAACAAGTCATCATTTGCTGATTTATAGTTATTAAAAGCATCAGGTAAATGGACTTCTTGATATGATTCAACACTGAACTAAAGGAATCACCTGCAAGAACAGGACTTAACATATTGATTAGGGCTGTCCATGGGCAAAAAATTCGGTTCGGTTTGGAATTCCAGGTAAGAAATTTTTTTTTGTCTGCTTCGACAATTCGGACCAATGGCATTCGGTTCGGTTTGGCACTTCCAAAATTCAGGACTTTGGCAATTCAGCAATTCAGAACTTCTGTTCTGTTGCGGTAACGAGATCACAGATGGATATCACAGAGTTAATCCCCAGTGCCCTCCTCCCTGCTATTCCCTTTCACAGCTGATGATTTTGTGTCCACCCATTCAAACTTTAAAGACAAGTAGCTCCAACACTTGGTGACCGAAAGAACCAAAAATACATTAGATGGATGCTTGAAAGAGTAACATCTTGGGCTTGAGGGAACTCCTTTGGGAAGTTAAGATCTTGGAGAAAATACCTGGGTGTCCATTAAAAAAAAAAAAAGCTGGGATGCAAAGCCTGGAGAACTTTATGATAGGGCGGAATCGGCAATCAAAGTACAATGGACGAGGACAGAGCACAATGTCTGACAAAATACAGCTTTACAGCAGAAATCATATCTCCTCTTTAATGCTCTGTCAATCAGAAGGTAAACGTTTGCTCTCAGGGAGCAGTCACACCACATCAGCAGTGACATACCAGCTCATTGGTAAGAGTTTGTTTGTGAAATGGATAGTGTAACTCCCCATGCTCTGATTGACAGAACTTGTATGCAGAGGTGGGGACTGCAAATATTAAAATTATGTTACTTAAGAGTGAGATGAGGACATTTATTGGTTAAGTGGAATGCTGAGTTGAGCGGTAGGCTTCCTTGAGCAATGTCTTTTATATTTGGCTTGTCTTTAGGGATAGAAACAAAGGCAGATTAGGGGTAAGTCTTACTGCATGGAAAAGTGACTTCAAGATGGTTGGTGCTACATGAGAGAATTCCTGCAGTATAGCTATGGGAAGAGGTGATAATAAAATATGCAAGGAGCAGGTCAATGTTAGATCTTAGGAAGCGTGTTTGAGTATATTTGTTGAGTGGACTTGGAGTGATGGGAAGGTAGTGATGTCATCAACAGTGAAGACATAAATCTGAGTAGAGCTAGAGGGGGGTAATAAAAAGGAGCTCAGTCTTAGACATGTTGATTTTTAGGTGGCCACAGGACAGGAAGAAATGCCATATAAATAGTCGCTGACATAAGAACAGACAAAGAGAGATCAGGAGTGGAGAAGTAGATCTGAGTGTCAACTTACCCAGATAAGACTTATGGAGAAAAGTAGAGGACCCAAGAGAGCTTTGGGGTACTCCAGTGGATCATTGAAGGAGAGGAGTCACCAGAAAATTACACACAAATTGACTGTTAGAAAGATAAGAGTGGATCCAAGAAAAAGCAGTAGTACAGAGAGGGAAGAGTCTGTCGGAGGATGGTGCTGTCAACTGTATTAAAGGTAGCTGAAAGGTCAAGTAAGATAAGACAGAGTTGTGGCCAGTACTTTTAGCAGAAATAAATTAATTGGT